CTGTGAAGATAGATTAATAATACGAGGAGTTACCAAAATTTAGGGAAAATATTGGGGCATCACACATGATAAGTACTCACTACATGGGCCATACGTTAGGATCACCTAAAATGACATCATCAATTCTGTGGTAGCCATTACTAGCACTCACAAAAACCTTTATGGATCTCTTCCTCTTCCTAGAAAACAAATGGCAACTGCAGCAGAGGTCATATAACTTGCCTTGGCTGATGTAATGTAAATGGAAGTGACAAGTGTCATGTCACTTGTCACCAGGACAGGATATACTTGAGCTGATATGCCTTCTATGTACTCTCTTGCCTTGCCACGGTCAACGCTGAAGCCCTCAATAGAGGTGGCAGCATCATAACAAAGTAAGGCTTCGATCAGCCTGGGTGTCTAAATGATCTGAAGAACTCCCTTCTTGATCTACCATGGACATGTAGCAAAAGCAAGAAATAAAACTTGTTCTGGGCTTCCCTGGTGGCGCAGTGGTTGAGGGTCCGCCTGCCGATGCAGGGGACACGGGTTCGTGCCCCGGTCCGGGAAGATCCCACATGCCGCGGAGCAGCTGGGCCTGTGAGCCATGGCCGCTGAGCCTGCGCGTCCGGAGCCTGTGCTCCGCAACGGGAGAGGCCACAACAGTGAGAGGCCCGCGTACCGCAAAAAAAAAAAAAAAAAAAAAACTTGTTCTAATTTCCTGAAATTTTGCTGTGACATAATCCAGCCCATGCTGACTGACAGAAGCCCAGACCTCTTTTCTGACTGCACCTTTTATACTACACATAGCTAACAGCTTGCAAGTCATGACACAGGGCTATTGTATAACACTTCAAGTTCAACATGTCCAAAACAGAACTCATGAACTCTTCCATAAATTATTCTTCCTCCAGTGTTTCCTACCTCAATAAATCCTCCAACAACTGTATGTTTGCTCAATTTAAAAACTTAAGAATCTTTCCTGATTCTTCCAGTTTCCTATTACTCACATGCTGCCAATGTCCAGGTGCTATGGTTTTTCACTTCCTCTACGTTTCTCTAGTCCTGGACCCTACTTCCAATAGCCTAGTCCAAAAAAACCCCATCATCTCTTACATAATTTAATAAAATAGCCTCATACCTAGTTATCCCCCATTTATCACTGCCTTACAAGCCAGACTCCATGCTACTGCCAACATGGTTCTTTAGGTGATTTGTGTAGTTTTAAGTATAGATTTTAAACCTCTTCATTAAAACCCACCAATGGCTTCTCATTTCTCTTAGTGTAAGTTGGAATTCCTGACTGAGAGCTTTAAGGTTCTACATGGTCTAGCCTTTTGCTCATCAGATCGTCATACTGTTCTCTGGAAGTGCTGACTGGCATTCAGTTCTGAAGACTTGCTATCCTTTTCCTCACCTCAGAGCTTCTGTTCTGCTGTTGTGTCCTTTATCTGTAGTCACTTCCCCAACCAACCAATACATCCACTACTACCACCACCACCTCTATCTTATGGCATCACTCAGTCTCTAATGCCAGTGCCTCATCTACATCTCTGTTTAGTGCTATTGCCTCAGGAAACAAGTCTTCATCCTTGGTCCTCTGGACCAGTTATATGCTCCCAAAGTATTTCATACTTAATGTTCACTCATGCCGTCCTTTTGTTATATCTTATCTTTGTTTTCTCAAAATAGTCTTTACATTCCATGATGAAGAAAACATTGGCTAGATTGCCATTGTTTCTTCAATGTCTAACACGACAAAGGCCATCAATAGTATTGTTCTGAATGAGGGTTTGTCTTTGAATAAATGACTGACACTTAGAAGATGCTTTTACAGCTTTATCGTCTTCCAGTTTTTCAGTTGTTCTACCTACGTAAGTCTATGTCCAGCTATTTTTTTTTAAAAGGAAGGAAATTCTTTTTTTTTAAATAAATGTATTTATTTATTTATTTTTGGCTGCATTGGGTCTTCATCACTGCGTGTGGTCGTTCTCTAGTTGCAGTGAGCAGGGGCTACTCTTTGTTGTGGTGTGCGGGCCTCTCTTGTTGTGGAGCACGGGCTCTAGGCATGCAGGTTTCAGTAGTTGTGGCATGCGCGCTTGGTAGTTGTGGCTCGTGGGCTCTAGAGCGCAGGCTCAGTAGTTGTGGCACATGGGCGTAGTTGCTCCGCGGCATGTGGGATCTTCCCTCACCAGGGATCGAATCTGTGTCCCCTGCTTTGGCAGGCAGACTCCTAACCACTGTGCCACCAGGGAAGCCCATATCCAGCTATTTTTTACCTTCATAGTTTTAAAAATTACCGTTGTTTGTTGTTTACATGATGTTGTTTGCCCATCTGTTCTTTATTTTGTTTTAGTTTTCTACTTATGTCCAGCTTACTGCTAGCACGGAATCATTTTAGTTTCAATTTTCTAAACTGTTTGGAAACCAGAGGTTGGTTTCTTTAATTCTCATACCTCATGCACAGAATGCTGACAATTTTTTGGATTCAAGCTTTTGCAGAAACTATTACATATCCTTCATATCTGGGGAGGTAGAGAAAATTCTGATACTTTGATTTTTTTTTCCTCCTCCAAATTAAAAAAAGCCTATTTTAGAATAAAAATATCTGTAGCTTGATCCGTGTGAATGCCCTAACCCCTATATCCAGAAAGCATTTTAGCAAATCACTCAAATATTAAAACCTAGATTTGAAATAACATCTCTCTGAAAAGCGTTTTTAGAATTTAATAGGACTGATAATATCTTGTTAACAAAAACTCTGTTGTTTAAATATATTCCAGCTGCATAATCTTTTTATATAACAATCTAAATAATGAGATAGGAAGAACGGATAAATTTTCACATAGATTAAGGCAGTTGCAAATGTATCTGAAGCATAATCCATTGGTGGGATGTAGGAGGGATGTTTAAAAGCCCATTTAAAGAGTAATTCATGAGTCTTCCAGGATGTTTGGTCTCTAATCAATAAATAGTGAGCCAGTGGGGCTTCTTAATGAGCGTCGTGTCTGCGACAGCTAGCAGCAATTTGGCAGGTCCCACAGCTGATTTTTTCAAGTGAATCCAAATCCTCCACAGACCTCTCTTACTTTCCAACACAGTGTTTCTTTAGGGGTGCACGGCAGCTGTCATAATGTTTTCCTCCATACTGTGTTAAAGTATTGAGAAAACTGCTATACAAATGCAAATTTAGGGGCCTTAATGGATTTTCTCTTGAAGCTGCCTGGATATTGTTCAGAGAAATAACAAGCTTCTCGGCAAACATCAAGGGGGAGGAGTTAAAATGCAGTTGCAGTGTGGTCTTCTGCCACATTTTTACCGAACACTTTAGTGTAATTGAAGTATTATCTGCCATGATTTTTTCTATATGAAGAGATTTTTAGAGGACACATAACTTTTAGGTGCAAGTGTGAGTTAGAAACTGCTTAGACTTCTATTGTGGACAAGACTGTTTGTCTACCATCAGGAGTAGGTCAAAGATCCTTTGAAGGATTTTATTCCAAGTAGAGAGGTTTACAGCCTGGCAGCTTCCAATATAGTATAATGATAATCTGAAAAATCTCTCTTGTAGTGAAATTTAGAGGAAATTTAAAACCTCATCAGGGGAATTGTCTGGCGATCCAGTGGTTAGGACTCCACGCTATCACTGCAAGGGACCCGGGTTCGATCCCTGGTTGGGGAACTGAGATCCCACAAGCCGTGCAGTACAGCCAAAAATAAATACATAAAACCTCATCAGTACATCTGCCTTGTTTATCACGGTTCACACTCAGGGAAGGTCCATTTTATGTTTTCTTCTGTTGAGAGTTCTCAGATGTGTGTCATTATGCCCAGGAGACATGAAATCTTCTGAAGGCAGGACATACGCATCAATGTCTATATTTACCTCGTCTCTGAATCTCCGACATCTGGGCCCTTGCTGATCCTGGAGAGACTGTCCCTGCCAGGGCTGGCCAATTCCTAAAGGTAAGGAACTACTGGGCTGAGAGCACAGCTTTCATAGGCAAACCATCCAATCCAAAACCCATACCCCAACTCTCCTGTAGGGACTTCCACAGACCTCTTACATTCTGGGTACCCTCCACCTGCCCAAATCACTCCAGGGCCAGGTGCCAGATAACTAGGGACAGTCCCTAGACCCCAGAGCCTGCTGAAATGATCCAGACTAACCAATCCTGAACATGCTTACACTGCTTGCCCACACTGTCCTATGGAGACCACAGGAAAGGCTATTGTGCTAGCCCTTGCGTTCCCTGCTCCGTCAGCCTCTTATCTAACCCCGCGGCTTCTGTGACTTTAACGATCTGTCTTTTCAAGAACAATCATCCTCTGATCTGTTGGCCTCCTCATACCTGAATAATAACAAACCCTACATTTTACAGTAATATCCTAGGTTGTACAGTATTCCCGGGATGCTAATGGTCATTCATTTGGTCCGAGCGGGTGTCTCCTTTCTAGGTGATTTGAAAGGTGTCAACAAGTTTTCTAAATCAAAACTACCTGCGACCAACCTGCTCAAACATATACTAGTCATTTTAACTAGATTAAGGAATGACATTGCTTGAGAGTGGTAATGTAGTCATTTTCCTTTAGCCGTATCTCATGAGAAAATGATCTTAACTCTTAGGCACCTAGCAGAGCACAAGATGTAAAGAGGGGGCTGTAACGTGTGGATTTACGTAAGAGTGAGGAAGGTGGAGATATCCAGGCGTGCGAGCCCTGAGCAGCCAGGAGACTAACTGCAGAAGGGATGAGCCGGAAAAAAGAGGGAACAGGAGCTCCGGGTAAATGTCGACAGTTTCACAACTTTAGATAAGGCCCAGCCTTGGCATTAGGTTATGTTCAGACACTTCTTCATTCACACAAAAAAAAAAAATCGTTCTTTTTTTTTTTTTAATAACACAACCATCTGTTTTGCTTAGAAGAGATAATGTACAATTAGTACATTTTAATTTGCTAATCCAATGTGCCTTGCCCACACTCAAAGGAAACAAATGTAAAGTAAAGAATGTCTTAGATGTTTGCAGCCAATTAAGGTGACTGCGCTCTTTTCCCCGTGAGGGCCCGGTGTGTAATGTCTGCAAAGAGCAGCCTCCTGGGTGTAGTGTACGCAGCCTGTTGCCTGTATGGTTTGCCCGAAGGGACCTTGGAGACAGCCCTTTCCAGTGGACATTCAGGACTGACATGCTGTCCCTAATCTAGGCTCCAGACAGGTATGCGCGGTGCCTTTGGAAAGCCCCAGGGCACAGTGGCCGGGGTCCACACTGGCCAAGTCATAATGTCCATCCGCCCCAAGCTGCAGAACAAGGAGCATATGACTGAGGCCCTCCGCAGGGCCAAGTTCAAGTTCTCTGGCCGCCAGAAGATCCACATCTCCAAGAAGTGGGGATTTACTAAGTTTAATGCAGACGAGTTTGAAAACATGGTGGGAGAAAAGCAGCTCATCCCCGATGGCTGTGGGGTCGGATACATCCCTAATCATGACCCTCTGGACACATGTCTGGCCCTGAGCTCGTGAGAGCCTTGGCGCTGTCCCCTACTTACTCATGCCCACCAATAAATCCTAATTTCCTGTCAAAAAAAAATAAAGATGTCTTAGACGTATGAGGTAAATCTTGCCAGAATTCAGCTTTCAGGAGAGAAAGCTCAGGACAGGTTAGAGGTCCTGGCGATCTGAAAGGGCAGGCAGCTCACTGTCCAGAGACTACAGCTAAGAGAGTTCTGGGGCTCCCCTGGTGGCGCAGTGGTTGAGGGTCTGCCTGCCAATTCAGGGGACACGGGTTCATGCCCCGATCCGGGAAGATCCCACATGCCACGGAGCGGCTGGGCCCGTGAGCCATGGCCGCTGAGCCTGCGCGTCCGGAGCTTGTGCTCCGCAACGGGAGAGGCCACAACAGTGAGAGGCCCGAGTAACGCAAAAAAAAAAAAAAAAAAAAAAAAA